CCCTGCCTATGGCTGGCCAGTTGAGGGGGCTGCCTGAGCTAACAGGGACAGGACAGAGGTCGATGATGGGCATCCAGAGGTGAACCTAGACCTGGCACAGTGCTAGCTGGAGGTGGCCAGTGAGGGCCAAAGGAATGTGGGCAGCAGCCCAGGGCTCCTCTGTGTGCACGTCCTCAGCAGCAGGCTGGGTCAGTCTGGGCCTCTGCCCAGAGGACAACAGGTATGACACCAGGAAGACAGTGACACAGGCCCTGTCCTAGGATGGATTAGAGGGGAGAGGGACTGCAGGTGAAGCACAGGCCCAGCTCTGTTGCTATTACCTGTGCACCCTTGGGTGGCTTATCTGGCTGAGCCTCAGTTTTCTCTTCTCTCAAAAGGGGACACCAATAGACTGTCCCTAGAAGGTGACTCTGAGGAAGAATGCACATTGGCGCATGTTCAGAGATGAATGAGAGGACATTCTGTTGCAGGGTCAGGGGTTAGGGTTGAGCTGCTTGCAGGGGCAAACCTAGAGGCAGGCATGAGACGACCCTCTACAGCGGTGCAGGTGTGAGATCAGCGGCTAGCCCGCTGAGGGGCCTAAGGGGGCTGGCTGCCACCTCCCTCACCTGACCCTGGTGGCCCCCTCGAAGTGAGAGTTCACACGGTATCAACAATGATTGTAACCCTTCACACAGCAGTCCTTACTGATGACTGTCTCCATGCTAGGTACAGTTCTAGGATTTAGGCCGACCTAGCCCTGCCTGCTGGACCCTCCTGTCTGTGGGACACAGGCAGTCAGCAGAACGTAACCCACCAATTGTTCGAGGCTTGATGGAGGATACCCACCGGGGCTCTGGGGGCATGTGGCAGGGGAAGCACTGGGCACTGGGACGGGGCAGGAGTGGAAGTGGCTGGTGACTGGGGGCGGGAGAGAAACATGTGCCAAGGTGAGGAAGGCAATGGGTGTGAAGGGGCACGAGGCCTGGAAGAACCCAGAGAAGACACGTGTGGCTAGAGCCAGTGAGCACGTGTGGGTACAAAAACACAAGGCTCTGTCGTGCTAGGAACAGTCACCCCAGGAGGATGGCTCTGGTGCAGACCTGGGGACGTTGGCCTGAGACCCATCAGAGAGGTTTTTTTAAAAAAATTCCTCACCCAAGGGCATACTTATTGATTTTAGAGAGAGGGGGAAGGGGAGAGAGAGGGAGAGAAACATCGATTGGGAGTTTTGGCGTTAGCTTTTTGAACTGGGGAGGGAGGGAGGCAGTTTTTGTTTCCTGTTGGCAGGAGGCACGTTCCCAGAGTATGTGTTGTCCTAATATGCAGAATCAAATAACACAGCAGCTAGTCAGCCCGAGGGAATAAAGCAGAGAAGTCAGCGCAGCAGGTCAGGTTCAGGGTAGGGTTGAGGGGTCACTGGGTGACAGCATGTGCCAGGAGATGGCAGTGTGGTGGCTGTAGCCATGGAGGGGAGCTGGTCCTGGCAGGGGAGGGGAGGAGGGGGGCCAAAGAGGCTGGAGGAAGGGTTGGCACTTACTAAGCAGTTGGAGAGGTGGCCAGGAAACCAGGGAGTGGAGTGTCCCAGAGTCACGGGGAGGGAGTGTCTCGAGAAGGGAGGTATGGTTAGCCGTGTCATGTGCTGTTGAGAGCAGGGCTGTGTGAGCAAAGGCAGGCACAGATGGGGGTCAGTGTGCCAGGAGATCGGGGCATGGGGGCTACACAAGGCTAAAGCTGGACAGGTGGTCACTCTGGGTTGTGGTGGCCTTTTGCACCAGGCATGGATATGTAGTCCCCAGGGCTGGGGCCAACACTCCGTCCTGTGTCCTCACTGGCCAGGACAACGGAACCAGAGGCGACAGCCGGGGCTCTGTGGTAGAAAGAGGGCTAGGGCCCTGGTGACTGAGTCTGTCCGACACCTTACAACCCAGCAGGGACAGCTGGCCGAGGAGTAGCCCATCGAGGTGGTGTCAGCTCCTCCCCGAGGAAATGACCAAGCCACAGTCGAAGTCGGGGACCGGGCTATGGACATTGCGACCCTCCATCCCAGTGGAGCTTTCTGGCACAGCAGCCGCCAAATTCATCCGGGCACACCAGCTGTTCTGAGTCAGCACCCTTCCCAAACACTGGTGGCTGGTGCCTTCACCACTCTGCCCCCTGAGGCCCAGCTCCCCTGGGTCTTCCTTCCTGCACACCAAGAGCCCCAGGACCCTGGAATCCCTCATCTACACCTGTGTCTACCTGAGCGGTGATGGCCGGTCCTGGCTGACTCTCCCACTAGTTTCTCACTCCCCGAGGGTGGGGGGGGGGATGTCTCACTGTCTATGGACCTCTGATGATGGCCCCCTCTTGGCTGACCAGGCTCTGCACTCCACCTATCCGGTTCCCCCAACCCATGCTGGCCAGTTCCCAGGCTGTGGCGGGCCAGGTGGGGGTCTCTCTAGTTTGTCTTCTTGGGGTCTGTGCACTAGCCCCCGCAACATCCACTCTCGAACAAACCATTGCAGATCTGGGTTAGTTATAAATAGCCAGGGCTGCGACTCTCCTTTTAGCTGAAAAGAAGCAAAGTGAACGAGCAGAGAGGCACACCCGGCACACATTTTATTTTTAATCTTCTCCCTCTGTCTCAAAAAGAAGCCGGGTCCCGGTGCTCAGCATTTCTAGGAGCAGAGGACCAAGGCAAACACCTGAGGAGCAAAACCCGGGGACCTGAGGGCCCCGCCCAGCGCCGGCCACTGCGAGCACAGCCTTGGGCACTTGAGCTGCCTGTCTGGGTGCTTCGTTTCTTCACCAAGGCACAGTGGCGGTGACTTCCAACACTGCGACCTTCTGACTCTGACCCCCTCCCTGTGAGCGGCCTCTCACCCCGCTCCAGCCTGTGGCTCCAGCAGCTGCCGTTCTCCCTGGGCTTTCCCAGGAAGGTCAGACCCCGGGGCAAAGGGGGCCACAGTTAAGCCCTGACTGGATGATGCACAGACTCCTCACCCCTAGGCCTTTGCTCGGGTGCCCTTGGCTAGGAACCCTCTCCCTCCATCAGCCAGCAAAATCCTTGGAAAGGGAAATTGTCACCTCCCCACTGTGAGCTGAGGGGGCGCCATCTAGGTTGTGGCTGAGAGGGACCCAGGCCTGGGGCAGGTAGGGAGCACGCGGAGGCAGAGCAGGGGTGGAGGCCCAGGTGTGCACCTGTCAGAGGTCCGTCTGGAAGGGAGGGCCGTCAGGGAGTGAGGCTCGGGCGTGCCGGAGAGGTGGCTCGTGGGGACCATGGACAGGCACTCCTGCAGGGCAGGGACCGTGTGGCTTTTTTCTTGGCATTCCACTCCTTTCCCCTCGTCCCTGCCCCATAGACTCTTGCTTCTGGCCGGGACCCAGTGTTGGTGGAATTTGGGAGATTCTTGCTGTGCTAGGCCCAGAGTCCAGGGCATAGAGTGACCGTCCCTTACACAGAGCGTGTTCCCACCCGCTGCCCCATTGGCACTGCACAGCCCCCCCCCCCCCACCACGAGGCAGGCTCATGTCAATAATGAGAAAGCCAGGCTCAGAGAGGTTCATTTGCTGGTACATTGAGGAGTCCAACCTTTTTTCCTCCCTCCCTCCCTCCCTCCCTCCCTCCCTCTCTTCCTTCCTTCCTTCCTTCCTTCCTTCCTTCCTTCCTTCCTTCCTTCCTTCCTCCCTCCTTTCCTTCCTCTGTGTGTATTTTATCTTAAAAAGCCCAGCAGCACTCTTGAGCAGTAGGAGACTGCTCTTCCTGTCGTGAGTGGCCTGAGAGCAAAGCGCTGCTCCACCGGCCCAGTGAGAAGCCGGCCAGGGCGCCTGGGAGCCGCTGGACCCGCTGCCCTGCTGCCTGGCCTCTGCGCCCCTCTCACTCCGCCCCGCTCTCCCTGGGGGCTGCCATTTGATGTCCTTTGAGAGTGAGGTAGAAAGACAGGGGTGATGTCTTCAAAGAGGAAATCCCTGGTGCTAATTGGCACTCAGAGACCTTTAGGCTAATTAACCTGTTTATTTGTCTCTCTGGAGTAAATTAGAGGGTTTAGCCGGGGAGGGTGGAAGAGGAAGGTGTTTACCCGTGGCCACCTCTGTGGGGGCCCGTGGTGTGAGCTGATGGGCAGGCAGGGGAGAGGGTGGGCTTCAGGGCAGTAGCGAGGGCCGCCCTTGTGCCACGGGGAAGGGCTGCCCTCCCTGGCGGCGCCCTGCTCACTTCCCCGGGAGTGCTGCTCTGCGCGCACAGGGACTGGGCCCCGAGGGGGGCATCTGGGACAGTTCTGGGTTCTCCTCCTGGCAGCCACACACTGACATCCCCCGGGGGGACTGAGGCTGGGAGGAGCGAGGTGGAGTTCCTGCACGAGGGAGGCTCACCCGCTGAGCTCCTCCCAGCCCCGGCACCCCAGCTGTGCCATGTAGACCCCCGCCCTTGGGGCACCAGGCCCCTTCAAGACCCTTGACCAGAATCTCTGGATTTCCTTTCACCTCTGTTTGGGGACAGAGCCCTTTGGTAGATAAGTTGCTGGCCTGTTCACTCTGAATCTTCCCCCTCAGACCTCACTTCAAGCTCTTCCTCCTATCCCTAAGGGCTGGCCAGACTGGTCTAGGGTCTCTAGCAGGCTGGAGATGTTGCAGGTGGGAAGGAGGAGCTTGGCTGGTCCCCCGCCCAATGCTTCCCTGTGGTGCAGGGCGTGGAAGGGACGGGGCTCCTTGTGTGCCTGGGTTCCCCAGCGGTGAGCGGCTGGGCTCTCCAAGAGGTGGTGGCTGCTAGGCGCTGCTTTCAGGGTGATGCCCCGGAGTCACAGGCTATCACAGGCTGGCACCTTCCCGGGTCCTCGGGTGGTTATGCACCCATCCCCACTTGTTGCCCACAGCCTCCTGTGGCTGCCCAGTCCCCCCGTCCAGCGGTGGGGGCATTCACAAGTTGTCTTGTCCAGCCTCCTGCAGGACTCTGCGGGACCCTCCCCACCTGCCCCTGTGTGACGCCCAGCATGGGTAGGGGGCATGGAAGCCCACCCTCAGTGCTACTTCTTGTCCCGCAGGGGCCCTGGGCATCGTCAACAGTGGCCTGATCCCCTCCCTGGTGTTGCAGCTGCACACAGAGCACGAAAGCATCCAGGAGATCCTCCTGGACACACTGGCGTCCTGCCTGCTGGAGGACGCCAACGAGGCGCTGGCCAGCCGTGCGGTGCCCTTCCTGAAGGAGATGCTCCTCAGTCACAACAACAACATCCGCACCAAAGCGGCCGCCACACTCACTGCTGTCAGGTGAGGCCCGGCCAGCTGTGCCGGCGGAGCAGGGAGGGCGGGAGTGGTCAGTCCTGGGCCGGGCACTGAGGCATGAGAGAGGTACCCGCTGAGCTGCCCCTGGCCTCGCAGCAGGTCCGGGGGTCACAGCAGGGGGAGCTTGGCGCCCCACTCCCCTCACCCCGGAGATACGCAGCACCTGGCCTAGAGTGGGTAGAGACCCGGGTGCTGCTCCACGTCTCACAGTATGTAGGGCAGCGGCCCCCCAGAGCCCTGCCCCTGTCCCCCACAGCCAGGGTCCAGGGCTCCGAGGCAAGAAAACTGTTCTTGCCTCAGCAGGTCCAACAGCTCCTCGGCCTCACAATGTCAGAGGCAGTGGCTGGCCAAGCTGTGCTTCCCCAGCTGGGACGCAGGGCACCTGTGTCTTTTAAGATATTATTAAGGGTGTTGCCAACACAAAAGTCCTGTGGGCAGCAACGTTTGGGGAAGGCTGGTTCAACGAAGCAGCTCAGGGCCCTTCGCTGCTGGAGGAACTTGCACTGTGACTCTCCCGTAGGGCCCACATTTCCTGGCTCAAGAAACCGTTCTCTTTTGGGGGACAGCGTTGGCCCCCTCACACTTTGGGAAGCTCTTTGGAAGTCCACCACTTTCATTTTCACAGCTCCATACAATGCGAGGGTGAACGGTGACCAAAAACGTCATCTCGCTTGAAGGTGGCTGCTGTGTGTGTGTGGCTCAGCCTGTCCTGGCCGCTGGGGCTCTTACGGGGACAGAATGAGTCTCCCTGTTTTATGTCTGGTGTCTTCTTCCCACGAGACCTTAGGACAAAGCTCCATCACCCGCTGGCTCCTGGGTGGTTTCACTTTCAGTGGCCCCAGGCCAAGTCCCCGGGTTTTCTGGGCATAGGAACGAGGCTCACACCTCACAGCAGTGCTCCCCTGCACCCTGGGAGCCAGGCCGTGGGTGGGCCCGGACAACCAGGGATGGTCCCACCACAGTTCCTTTTCTGTACATCCCCCTGTGTGTGTGTGGGGGGGGCGGTCCTAGGCTCTGCTCCCTTCCTACCCACAAGCAAAGCCACACAGCTGTCCCCTCTCTGGCCTAGCATCCCTCTGGAGGGCAAGAGACAGGTGTGGCAATATGACGTCATCCCCATCCTGGTGCACCTGCTGAGAGACCTGGTGGAGGAAGTGCAGGCCAACGCGGCTGGGGCCCTCATGTATGCCACGGTGACCACTGAAGGTGAGGCCGCCGGCAGGCTGGGTATGCAGGTGGGAGGTATCCCCTGCGTGGGCACGGGAGCTAACGTGTGGGGGAGAAGGTCACCGCAGCCTCCCAGCACGCTGGCCGTCCTGGCCAGCTTTCCAGGACTCCTCATCTCGCACCTCCCTGCCCTGCCAAAGTACATCCGGACTGCTGTTGAAGTCCTTTCAAGTTCGGGTCCTGGGCTTCGCCTGCCCTCTTCTTCCTGGCCACGGCCACTTGGTCACTCGCATCAGGATCACTGACCCTTCCCTCCAGGCTACTCCCTGGGCCTGGCATTTCTGCCTCCATCCCAGGCCTCTTGTGAGCCATGATTCTGGGATTGATTAGTTTGCCTTTTGAGATCCAGTTATCCTGCGGCCTAAGGAAACATTGGTCCCCTTGCTTCTATGGCATTTCTGGATTGAAATTACTTTTCTCAATTGGGGCTGGGGGTGGTGCTCAGAGTATAAGATTATCTCCTCAAGCTGGGACTTCCAGCCACTCAGGCTTCTGCATGCTGTCACTAAACCCGGGGCTGGCAGGAGGGACTGGTTGGGGCTGGTTCTCCCACCTGGAGGCCAGGGCAGCCCATCCCCCCATGAGGCCACCTTCCGTGACCTCTGAAAGCTGTCTGACCCTTCCCATGGCCCGCCCTCGCCTGCACCAGCCCTACGTCCCAGGCTTTCTTACAGTTCCTCAGAGGACTGCTGGGCCTCTGATTCTCATCAGCGTCCTGCAAAGACCCCAGCCCCGAGGCCTCCCAGCCACTCCCCACTTGACCCCAACGGTGGAATCTGAGACACTCCAGAGGGAGGGAGGTTGGGGCCTTCCTGGAGTCCGCACCCCACTTCGATGGTGCAGTGAGGATGCGGGCCAAGGGGTGGGGGCGGGGGCGGGGTGTCCTCAGTGCCGGGTCTCCACCCAGGGTTCCCATGTCAGCTCTTAGGGGACAGAGGGCTCCTGGGGGCCTGGGCATTGGCTGAACCTAGGGATGTCGGGCCACTCTTCCCGGATCTGGCACTCCGGAGCTGTGCTGGGTGGTGGGAACCCAGACTTCTTGGCCTTGGTGCTATAATTAGTGGGAGGGGCAGACTGATGAATGACATGGGGGAGAAGTGCTACTTGTACTGGGTACCGGACAGGGGCAAACCGTCCCATGGGAGGGGCATGGATGTTGACCCAAGGGACAGTGGGAGTCAGCAGGGCAAAGGTGGGGCTGGACAGGTCCCAGTGGCAAAGAGAGGAGTACTCAGGGCAGGAAGGTTGGCGACAGGGGACAGCTGCATCTTTTAGCAGGTGAGGTGGAGTGGGGGTGGGATGAGGCAGAGAAGGGTCGGGAGAGGCGTCTACTTCCCACATTAACGTCTGTGCGCCTGTAGACTCCAAGTGCTGCGAAGGCAGGCGCTCTCTGTCTTTTGTGCCTGGTGCACAGTAGGTGCTCAAGAAATGTTTGCCACATAAGTAAATGATTGGATACCAGTTTTTAGGAGCCCACTCGTGTTGCCTCGTGAGGACTGGCTTTCGGAGTGGGCACCGAGTGGAAGGGGAGAAGCCAGTTAGGAGGCAGGGGACGCAGAGTTGATGGGGTCTGACCTGGGCTGGAGGCAGAGGGGGTGCGAGGGCCTGCATGGGGGTGAAGCAGGGAGCTTGGTAGCAGGCGGTGCCTTCCCGAGGTCATGCAAGCCAGAGGTGGGACGAGCAGGGGGCGGAGGCCCCCACGGGAATGCCCGTGCTGGTAACCCACAGGGAAGTATGCGGCCCTGGATGCAGAAGCCATCCGCCCGCTCCTGAACCTGCTGAGCTCGGGGCTGACAAAGGCCCGCCTGAACGCCATCAAGGCCCTCACCATGCTGGCGGAGGCCCCCGAGGGCCGCAAGTTCCTGCAGGCCCACGTGCCCATCTTCCGTAGCCTGGAGCTGGACCACAGTGAGGCTGTGCGGCGGGCGGCCCAGGTGGCCATCAAAGTCATTGAGTGGAAACCCTGAGCCTCTTCTGAGGCCAGACCTGATAAGGTCCACGCCTGAATAAACGGGCCAGATTTCTTCCTCTTGGGTCTGCACGTCTCTTGATGTTCATGGGCCATGGTCACGTTTCTCTCTCTCTCTCCCCTGCCAAAGGGGAAACAGCCAGCCCAGAAGGACCAGGTCACAGGTGGCCAGGTGAGGCAGCACAGGCTGAACACAGAGCCCACGGGAGGCAGTTCTGCTCCCTGCGGGGGCCAAGCTTCTTCTCAGAAGGCAGAGGGCAGGCCTGAGCCTTCCAAAGACGAGAGGTGGGGGGAAGGGACTTGGGTCAGAGGAGGAAACATAGCTGGACCAGGCAGCACCGAAGCTCCAGGCGCTGGAGCGCCCAGGCCCTTGGGGTGTGCCTGGGCACAGGCAGCCCTGCTCAGCCAGGCTGTTCCCTTCCTACACTGAATAGCAAGGTCAAAGAGGTCTCCCACGGGCGCTCTTGCTGGAGGAGGGTGAGTTGTAAGAGACCCTTCCGGCGATGAGCCGTCCAGACAGGGATGCTCCTTAGGGTCTTCCTTCCAAACAGCCGCATTCTCCTCTAAAGGCAGGAAGTTACCTGAGCAAGCTCTAGGCAGGCCTGAGGCCGCCGCCCCCCACCCGCCCTCCCCTGCCGTCAGCCTGGCTGGGTCTGGTTTGCCTCCACCTGTGCCTTCACCTGCCTTGCTTCTCCCCCAAGGAGAAATTGGCTAAGGAGGCCAGAGAGCCAGGGGGAGGGGGGTCCAGGCATACTCGGGGACCCCTTAACCTCCCCCGCACCCCTGCCTGGTCTGGCAGGAGGACTGACCTCCAGCCAGTTCTGACCTCAGCTGGAGAAGCCGCAGGACTGGGGCTGGACTCCTTCGTCCGGGCTGAGCTAGAGCCTTACTCTTTGCCCATGAACTTCTCGAGGCTCCGTGTTTCAAACAAGGTCTTGCTCGTTACATCCCCCCCCAGCAGCCATTTGTCCTGTGGGACAGAACCTCACGGCATGCCTGCCCCTCCTAGGGAAAACGTTATCAGCAGACCCAGAACTCCCCAGTGGGCGCCGGCCGGCTGGCTGTCCTTTCAGGGACTGCGGCCTTCACTCTCCTGGAAGAAGCACAGAGAGGTCTGTGTCCCTGGAATCAGAGGGTTGGCCCAAATAGTCCCAAGAGGGTGTGTTCGTTCTGCAAAGGACGGGCTGCTGCTGGGCCCAGCTGGGGTCAGGTTGAGCCTCATTCTCAAAACGGGTCCCGGTAAGGCGAAACCTTATTTCCTTTAGGAAAAAGGGGGCTCCAGGGGCTCCGGTTCCTCAGGTCCCCATTTCACCACAGCCCCCAGCAGGCTGGCTCCATCCCTGCCGCCTCACCCAGGGGCTCTGACCTGAGAGCTCCGGCCTCCCTGCTGCCGAGGCCCAGGTGCAGGCGTCCCCTTCCCGGGCTGCTGCCTCCCCTCCAGGTTCCAGCTGCGCCCTCCCGGTTTCCCTGGGAGCCCTCTCTCCCTCCATGACCAGGGGCGTTTCTCATGCTGCCTTCTAGGGCCTCCTCCCCCTCCCCCCCAGCCTCATCTGCCTGACGTGGGCCTCCTCTGCTGGGTTCCCTTCTCAGCTAGGCCTGCCTGCTGCCTGCCTCCCTCCAGATCTGGGTCTCCAGCCCCAGCCTCTCTTGGGTTCTGGACCCTTGTATCCAACTTAACATCTACCCTTAAGTGTCTCCAGGTAAGAATTATCAATCTTTCACAAACTATCCTTCCCAAACACTTCCCAACTCATTCTACGAGGCTGATATTACCCTGATGTCCAAGCCAGACAAAGACATCATAGGAAAAGAAAACTACGGACCAGCACCCTTTATGAATGTAGACACCAACACTCAACCAAATGTTAGCAAGCCAAATGCAGACAAATTTTTTTAAAAAGCATTACACACCATGACCAACTGGGATTTATCCCAGGAATGCAAGGTGGCTTAGCATATGAAATGAATCAATGTAACATAAATAGAATAAAGGACAGAAACCACATGATCATCTTAATAGATGCAGAAAAGGGCATTCGACAACGCCTTTTTAGAATCTTCATGGAACTCAAACTCAGCAGGCCCCAAACAGTGCCTGACCTTTCCCCCCACACCTGCTCTTTCTCCAGTGGTTGGTCTTTGGAGTCGGTGTGCCCCTCGCCGTGTGCTCAGGCCAGAGTCACGCCTGGCCCGCTCTCCAGAAGTCTCATCACCAAAGTCCTGTTACTTCTAATAGATGGCTTCTCTTGGTACCCTGCCCTTCTTTTCAGTTTTCTGCCACTAACGTGCTCCCTTGCTCTAAAAGCCTTCTGCTGGGTGTCCTGGTCCCCTTTTCATCTTTCTGCAGCAGCCAGCAATTCTGACCCTGTAACTTCCCCTCCAAAGCTCCCAGGGACTTAGGACTCCACAGCATATAAAGCCCGCAGGTCAGGCCCCTGCCTACCTTGTCCTCTCATCTCTCACGTTTTTTTCCTCTGCACAGGCTGTGTCTTGGCGGCCTCAAACATGCCTTGAGCTCTTGCCTTGTGTCTTCCCACGGGTTTTCTCTTCTTTTGTCCAGCTAACTGACCTCCTTCTTCAGTCAAGGAGGCTTTCCTGACCCCCGAGGCTAGGTGGGGCTCCCTGCTGGGCACCCCTGCAGTGCACACCCTGCATGCGTGGAGGGCCGGCATTGGCTCGGTGTCAGACAGGGCTGCTCGGGCCCACAGCACACTCCGGCTTTACCAGGACCCCCTGCCTAGCCTCGGTCTCCTGCCCTGTGAGATTCGGTTAATTTTAGTCCTTCCACAAGGGTGGTTCTGTGGCTGGAATATGGTAATGTTCTTGGCCCAGGCAGGAAAACAGTAGTCAATGCTGGCAGCCACTTGGGTGGGGAGGGGCCGGACCTGCAGACCTTACCTGCTTTGGGAACCTGAACTCCCCCGGTGTTTCATTCTGTTTCCCCCACAGGCCATGTGCTCTTGGGCACGTAATAGCTGCTCAACAATGCTGGCCGAAGGATTAAATCAGGGACGAGGAGCTGGGCACGTTAGTGCGTCTTCAGAGTGTGATTTTTGGGACGCCGGTGGGTCTTCCCAAATTACTTCAAGGCACTCAAAACTTTTTCTAAAGACACAAATCATTTATTTTGGTCCAAGAAGAATTAGGAGGGGGACCTGTAGAAACACTGCCCAGGAGTAGCCTGTGTTTGACAGTGAAGGGGAAATGAACCCTTGGACCCAACAACCCCCAATAACATCCCAAAAGCTTGCAGACGGGGAGGGACTGGGAGGGGCTTGGCAAGGCAGCAGCAGGGTGTGCTGAGGGGGTGCGGCCTGTTCCCTAAGCACAGACCGCCTCAGCTCCTCAGCCCCTCCGCCGGCCTGCAGGAGCCCACATTTCCGTCCACAGGTGGGTTTGGCTCCAGCTGGCCCAGTGGCCGTCAGTGGGCACAACGCCTGGGGTAGGAAGCCCAGCACGGGGGTGGCGCTTACACTGCATGGCACCTTTGCCAGCAGGGGCACACACTGAAGAAGGAGGGGGGGACAGGGCAAAGAAGGCTGGGTGTGGAAAGAAATGGTGACAGTAAACACAAGTGAAAATCCCCGGAACATGCAGAGATAAAAAGCCAAAATTCAATTTAAAGTGAAAGTCAGTGTTTACGCAGTAGAGTCATTTGGAGAAAATGACTCATTTTGTAAAGGAACAGATGTTCTCATTTGCATAGTCTCTGCAACGCGAACGGACTTCGCTCTGCCCCTCAGCACACACGCCCTGCAGCTGGTGGCACTTGGTGAGGGACAGTGATGGAGCGTTTTCACTAGTGTGGTCCTCGGTCCCACAGACGTGGGTCTCCCGGTAGGAAGCACTTCCTCCCCTCAAAGGCGAGCGAGTCTGGAAGAGGCAGCGGTCTGCCTGCTCACCCCAGACGGCCCCGGGCCCCGGCAGCTTCAGTGGTAGAGGATGTAGCACAGGACTGTGACCAGTATCAAGAACAACCCACTGACGTTGATGACTCTTCTCCAGAATGGGGATTCCAGGGTGTCCTGGTGCTTCGTCCCTTCCCACATGTCACTGAGCTCGGGCTCTTCAGACAGGGCACCGAGCTTCTTCATCTTCTCCATGGCCACCTCTTCTGGAGCCAGTCTATGGCCTAGCTTTGGCTCCAGACCACAGAACACATCCAAGGCCTTCCACAGGCAGCTCTGGGGCTCCCTGAACACAGCTGGAAGGGAGGGAACAGGCAGTGGTCAGGAGGCGCAGACCAGGACCCCGGAGAAGAGAGCGGGTGTCACATCTCAGTGGTGAGTCCAGCAGGAAGACCGACAGCCTCGCTCTAATATGAAGGCCAGTCCTCAGCCCCCGCTATGGAACGCCTGCCGCCGCCCTCAGAGATCTGGGAGAGTGGGACGGGGGCGAGGGCTGCGTGCGGGGGCAGAGCGGGACTGCCTGGGGCCATACTTACCTTCTACTGGCAGAGCCTTCGGCTGGGCCCAGACCCCCTGAACTGGGGGGCAGAGTGTTGAGGGCTCCCCCGGGTTTGTTTCGGCATGCCCCCTTCTCTGTCTCGGGCACACAGCCAAACGCAGCTCCATAGGTCTGATATCCCCCTCCCCAGTCACTACGCTCCAGGGGATGGAAAAAATCTGATTTCTTGAAAGAGACACTGCCCTCCTTGGTAGTGTCTCAGGGAAGGTCTTCTCCAGGCAGGCGTGTCTTACAGCTGGGCCCAAAATAAGGCTCTCCAGGCCCTTGAAGGGGAATCACTAGCATTTTCCAGGAGGCAAAGGAGGAAAGCCTGGGAATTACAGGAAAGTTTCCACTCATTTTTCTAGGCCAACTTTGTGTAAACACCTAACTCTGGGACTTCAACTTCGCTCCTGTCGGTGGAGCTGGCGGGCTGCTCCTCAGGGCGTGCTCGGGCTGGTCAGCACCACGGCCAGCGCCGGCGCATCTCCCACCCTCCCTGCACCCAGCGCTGCCTGGGGAAGGCTCCCTCCTTCCTGATAAGACACGCGC